AAAATAAATTTTTAAAAAACTTTAGAAATGGTTGCTCATTAGGCATGTGATGGACACCTAATCCCAGCACTTTTCTAATTTCATGAACACCGCCCTTCACTAATCCCAATTAATTGGAGACCGAAGTGGGGTCAACTATCATGCAATTCCCCCACTCCCCTTTTTTTTTTTTGGCCCAAATTCAATTCTCCATTCCGCATGACTCTAATGAACTTTATTTTTTCTCTTTGGTCAAAATTCCTCGGTGGTATTAAGATTCGGCGACACTCACAAGCACGTGTATGACTTGGTAAGAGGGTCTTTTAACTTAACTAAAGATATTAGTTTCAATATTTGAAAATATAATTCTATTAAAACTTATAAAGAAAAGTTTTGCTTTTTATAGAGTCCTATTCAGTTTGAATCCAAATTAATCGATAACCCAATAAAATTTTAAATACCGATGATCTAAACAAAAAAATAATAATAATAAAGATTCGGCAACATCAATGCACCCACCAATTTCTTCTGCAAGTTGCTTTTAGGCCTATAAATAATTCAACTTGGGAATTGTTCTAAAACCAAATAGATGCCATCCACTTAAAGCGAAATTTTGATTTTACTTCACTTTAGATTTTATAGTAAGCCACTTTTCTACCATGGGTGCTTAAAAAAAGGAACATAGGTATCCTTATACTTTTAAGTATAAAAAGAGTAATTCTTAATTGAAAGAGTTAATAATCATATTATGCTTATAAAACATTGTACATGTTCTTTTGTAAGAAAAATCATAAAGTATATAATTTCTTTGTACATAATTATAACTATTTTTGTATAAGAAAAGCTACTCTACACATGATGCAAGGATGAAGCGTTAGAATTTAGGTTGCTAATTCCTCTAGAAGCTAGGTTGGACAGAAAAAAAAAAAGACGAAGAAGAAGAAGAAGAAAAAAGAGAGAGAAAGAATAAAAAGAAGAAAGAAAACCCACCTTTAGGGAGTTTGAAATCTATTTGTAAACAAAAAGTATGCACAAATGACAAACCCTCTTCTCAACTTTATAACTTGTAGAAATTAGTCTATATTTACTGTATGATATCGTTTTATTTGTTGACGTTAATGCCAATATATCACATAATTCCTATAGTAAGCTAGGCTGGACAAAAAAAGAAAAGAAGAAGAAGAAGAAAAAGAAGGAGAAGAAGAAGAAGAAGAATGCCAATATATCACATAATTCCTACAGTAAGCTAGGCTGGACAAACAAAAAAGAAGAAGAAGAAGAAGAAAAAAAAGAAAGAAAGAAAGAAAATCCACCTTTTAGGGAGTTTGAAATTTGTCTGTAAACAAAAAGCATGAACAAATAACAAACCCTCCTCTCCTCTCAACTTTATAAATGTAGAATTCAACCTATATTTAACGTATAATATTATCTTTTTATTTGTTTTATTATTATTATTTTGAACAGATTGTATTAAGGGTAAAGAAATTCGAACCCCAACTTAAAAGCTGGGAGATGCACTTTTAATGAGACATATAACCATTGGATTGTCGGGTCCAAGTGCTTGTTATTTGTTTAATTTGTTGACATTAATGCCAATATATTACATAGTTATCTTAGTAATCAAGTTAAATGTAAGGGTAGCCACATCAAATAAAAAATAACATTACACATTAAATATAAGTTGATTTCACTAATGATCTATTGGTCCGAATAGAAAGAGTTTAGTTTTTTTTTTTTTTTTAAATAAGATATTGAATCTGAGTCTTCTGAACAGAGAAATAGGTATTGAGAGAGTTTCTCCCTTGTGAGATCCGGTGCCACTCAATTTTAAATTAGTCAAAATCCAATATGATTATTGGATAGTAAAAGATTAATATATATATATATATATATAAGCTGATTTCCTCAATTTGTGAAGTAAAATGGTAAATTTGATTTGTATACATTTTATTCAGCGATGAATTTCAAACTGCTCAATAAATTTGGAGGTGGACTTTTGGTTTTCTTTCTTGTTCTTTTTCCCATAACTTTTCATAAAAATAAGAGACTTTTAAGCTTGAGTGTAGTAAATCTTGTTGTAGGATTAACGGGATAAAAGATAATTTTTGTTTTTACTTCCAACTCTTTTTTTCTTCTTTAAAAAAAAGAATATAATACTTTTTTTTTTTTTTACCAGCATGAATTATTTTTTCTAAAATCAAAATGATAGACATACTATGAATGAAGGGAAAATGCAAATGCACATGGAAATCACGCAATACCCACTTGCAGCTGTTCCCCCTACCATCTCCTTTTTTTTTTTCTTTTTTTTTAGGTTCTAAATTTTTGTTGGTTTGGTCCACATTTCCTAACATTTCAAAATTGAAATTTCGGGCGAGGGAGTCTGCTTTCCTTCTAACCCGAGTCACCCTTGATCGCCAACAACCCTGCCTTAAGTAAAAAGGAAAATTTCAGGGTACCAAGTTAAAATGGCACCCAAAAAAAAAGGGGGTGGGGGGTACAACTAAGTTAAACATCAGAAATGTTTTTTCCCAGTATGTGTTTTATTTGAAAACATCAATTTAAGATTTGAAAATACAAAATTACATTTTATGTTTATTCTTAATTAATTATTATTTAAATAAAAAATTTTATTTAATACTTCCTCTACTCAACTTCATTAGAGTTAATTTTTAATTTTGAACGCTCAAATTTAGTTGTTGCTTTTCCCATTTTAGGATGTAATTGAATGCACTTATTCATGTTTTACTATTATTTAAAAAGATAATTATATAATATATATTTTTTGTTCATCTTTACTAAATCTAGTTTTTAATAA